AATGGCTGCGAGTGGATTCAATGACTCTATAAGCTGATTAAGGGCATTGCGAGTCCAGATTTTATTATACACGTCCGTGCATGGGATATTCAGGCTCCCCCGGTATTTCACCCCCCCCCCACCATGATCTGACGTTTGAGTTGACGTATACCTGGTGACATGGTTACACGCATTGCCATCAATGGGCAGTCATTGGTCTTTTTGTCATAGCACAGCAAAATGGTACACGCATGAATGCACTTCTCCCAACGCCCACATTGTTGACAAAAAATGCATCAACGTCACAGCAACGGTGTCCCCGAGCTAACTTGAGTCAGAGTAACCATCAAGTGCCTAGTAGAATTTTACCCGAATTTTTGTTATCAGTTACTTTACTCTGAATGCGGGCTTGCTTTAATGGAAGGGAGACTGGGAAACTATGGCATGGGCTTGCGTCACCTAATTGGTGAAAGGGCTAAATTGAATGAGCTTGTAGTCAATGGAATACAAAGACTGATCTTTAAAGGCCGAAGACAAGTCTATCTGCTCTTGCCTATGAAGGACGGTCCGATCGATACAGACCTGTTAAGTGACTGAGTATACAAGTGATGCGTATATACATGTACATGTACAAGTCCATTTAGTGAATGCGCCTGCGCCTTGGAATATTAGACTCACTCCGTCCATGAAGGGATTTGCAGGCCGACATCCCGCTTGCGACGGTAAGAAAATCTGGCATTATTGTGTGTAAACATGTTAGAACAATTTTAGCAAAAGATTGAGTGTTAGTTCAAACACTCCCTCCGTCAAAATACCAAATTACAGCGACCCTCTTTTCAAGGTAGTGAGACGAAAGTTCTCCTACCTTTTCAGGGAGGAATAAGATCGTTCTTGCCAACTTGCGTCATGTGTTAGTGATCTACTTTTCATCTTGAACAGCATATTAAGGTTAAATAATGGAAGAAAAAGCAGGCGCACTCGGGGCACCTCCTCCCTATGCTGCAAGTCTGGGACAACCAGGTAAGTAACTATTTCCTTGTCTTTCAATCGACGATAGTCAAAATGTAGCCTGCCATTCATATTGAGAGAGTGTGCGTCTAGTGGCAAAGTTTGGAATCTCATGTTTGTTAACGACGCGGGTCGATGGATGTATTCGCTTGAGAGTTGCGTTTAGATGGGGAAATGATAAAACAGTATATTGTGTATTGAAAGGAAAAGAGAGCGCCCATCTTGGAGGGAACTCTAAGGATGTGTTCATTTACTGTTAAATTTATGCTATGATAAATGGTTGACATCACATTTCATCGCAATGTTTCTGTTATACAACACTGAGTCAATGATCAATTTGCCCAATGGCAGGCCAACCGGAACCGGCCTGGCAGGACCCGGCTGCCCCACCACCGCCGGTGATAGCTCAGCCTGGTCAGACCACCGTAATGGTACAGCAACCGCCGCCCGTGCCGCAACCACAATCGGTGGTCGTTACCACCGCGACCATGCCGATGAGAATGTCCCAATTCCCCGCCAACGTCCAGTGTCCTAACTGTCGCAACACTGTCACGACAAACACCCACCAGGAGAACGGAACCTTGGTGTGGCTGACTGCCTTGATACTGCTCTTGATAGGGTGAGTGCTGTATGAAACACATCGAGACAAGTGCAAGAGACAAGCCCGATGTCATGATCTCTCAGCCAGGAAAGATTTCTTTTCCAATTTTGTGCGGGCCATTACTGGTGTCAATCAGTCAGACTGATTTGAAATCAGACATCTGTGTTACATATTCTCCTCAAAGCATGAAGATCGAAACCTCGAGTTGGTTCTTTTCACAATGTTAGAGGAAGCCTCGTTCCTGCTTTAGTTTCTTCCTCGTAACCACTTGCTGTAGCTTAAATTGCAAACTCAGAGGAACTAGAGCATGCAGTCGTAGATTCTACAGCCGATAACTTACGTACGATCTCGCCAATTCGCCAATTATCTCGCCAATTATCTCGCCAAAACGTAGGCCAAGTTCAGCCCTAGTCTTTTGCTTATTTTCTGTCTCTTCTCCAGTCTCTGGCTAGGATGCTGCCTCATCCCTTTCTGCATTCCGGCTCTGAAGGACACGATCCACACCTGTCCCATCTGCCAATTCACCATCGGCAAACACACCCAGATCTGATCGGATAATCGTTTTGGCCGTGAAAAATTGATGAAAATCTTAACTTAAGCTTGATCTCACTTTTATTTCAACGTCTTCCTTTTAAACTCAACTTTATGTGCCTGGTTTCAAGTGCACAGAATCGATTCAAGTGGAAGCCTTCATTTTTGAAATAAAATGTCTATACAAACATGTTAACCGTTTTCTTGTGATTTACAGGCTCAACCTTGTCAGAATAATAGTAGAGAATATAACAGTCGTGGAAGTACTTACACCTGATGCATAAAAAGCCCCGTTTTCTGGCGTAACTTTCCTTGCTCTTGAGACAGCTTCAAAAGTTAATTTCGATATCTGAGAAATGTAAATACTCATTTTTTATGAAATTGATATGCACTTGCATAAGCCTTCGTACTTAAAGAAACATTTTAAAGTTGCAAAACGATCTCACTATATCTCACTATTATGTATCATATTCGTATAATTTTGGAGGTGTTATGATTGCTGTGTAGATGTACGGATCTAAGAATTTTACTGAAACGTGGTTAAGCTTCAGATCTTGTAACTTACATGAAAAAGCAATGTAAAAGTATGGTTGATAAAATGAAAGTGGCATGAAGTGGCACTTTTTATACAGTTTTATCACAATAGTAGCTCCACACATTTTAATAAACAAGTCACGGGCTAAACGTGTGGGAAAAAGTGGGTACAAAAACGTGTTTAAACTCTAAACATTGTTTTGACAGTGTATAGGTATTTCTTATTGGATTAACTGTACACATTTGTAGAAATAAACGAGAAGGTCCTAAAGCACTTGTTTCTGAAAGTATTATGTTCCGGAGGTGTAAGACTTGACGCTGTAGAAAAACTAAATTAATCTTTCACAGAGGGGGGTACAATCAGGAGGTTTGCTTTAAAGGATGGGCGGCCCAGGTGCTAGGAATGCGCTGGACGCGTTGGGAGTTGTCAATTCGAAATGACATGTCATGAGAAGTCAATTCGAATCTCACCTAAGCAAAGGGCCACGCATGTGTAACTTTTTAAATGCATTTCTTGTATCTGTTTCTGTCAATTTTGTTGTGCCATTCCAAGTGCGTATTGGTGTCTTTTTATTTGTATTACTTTGACAATTTAATATATTTATAAGCGAAAGTGTGATGTCATCACCAGACGTTATTACGGACGGTTTTTGGCATGACCTTTGGATACTTCGCTGTCTAAATGTGGGGGGTGTTTTGGGGTGATATGTTGTTTCAGTTCTTGACAGTGAACTGAAACAACATATCACAAAGTGATAGTGCAAAGGTTTCTCTTTCTTGCAAATATTGCCAGTCTAAGGAACAGAAAACCTCCGAAACGAACAGTCGTTGTCTTCCTGGAATATAGCAGAGCAAGTACACACCCATAATGTCCAGGAAAACATGAAAAAAGGGATAAGTGCCACCTCCAATGAAAATCAACCGCAAAGAATTGTTAAATAGTTGCACTTAAAGTATTTTCCACTTAAAATTTTATTTTTTCATATTTGTTTTCCGCTATGGGATGTAATGCATATGTATCCATTGCTACAGCTTGATGGTGCTGGACATATGTGCATTTTGGTATAGAAATTCCCACTATCAATGACAGTATGCCCAATATCATCACTTGTCAGTAACTAAACTTTCTAAATTCGAAAGAATAGAAACTTCAGGGATGTTTCAGATTGATAGACACTCCGAGTTTCGGTTGTTTGAAAAAGGGACATCTTCCGTGGAAACTCGGGTGAAGTCTCAATCAATTCGACTGATTACATTTCACTCGAATTCGTCTTGTCCTTCATATAGTGCATTGTCGCTCTTTGGAATTCGCACAGCTATATCTAGCAAGCAGCAAGAAATGAGACGGAGGGGTACCCCCAACAACATGTCCCATCGCCATACTCACTCTAGAATAGTGTTACCTAACACATACCCATGCCTGAAAAGCATTCTTCAGATTGCAGTGGAACAATGACCAACACAAAACTGGGGAGGGGTTCTCTTGGTCTCATATCTTGCTTCATATGCAGACAGCATTTTCTGTATGCATGATGTCATCAATCTGTATATAGGTTTCATCCTTGGCAACATACCTCATATCCAGCACGATTGGTGGCAAAGGGGGACCTCCAAATGTGATGCACAAGCTATATACCCTAAGGCTGTTGTGCCTACTGCGCCCCCCCCCCCGGAAATCTGAAAGGAATTTCTAAGATTTCGTCAACACAAAAGAAGACACAATAGAGGGGTCCCTTTTGCCACATATCGCACATCAAATGTACCTCACACCATGGAGGAATTCCTCCATGCTCACACTAAGTGTTACTAGGCTGATTATCAACAAGGACACCATTACGTTGGGTTGCATTAGGTTCTGCTCTCAATGATTGGGCAGTATTGTATTGATTGTAATTCGTCTAATGCTTGACCAATTGTGACGGTTCTGCGTAAACATTGAGGAGGCATAAAGCGCTGGTGCATACATGTACTGTACATGGCAAATAAGCCGCATGGAACAGGATGTAAAGTCATGATGTACATGTAAACATGGTGTAAACACCGACCAATGCTGTCCGCTGCTATTTTTGTCAATCATCCATTTTGTACGTTATATATCTTTGCGCACGGTGCAAATTGTGATATAATGATTTTGCCAGCACCCGAAAGAACATGCTTTTATCTCTTTGTGAGGCACGCCTTATAAGTCACTCAGTGTGATTTTTAAAAACAAATTCACTGAGATACTGTGACCATTTTAAAAAATCGATATGGCCCATATTCCCGTTCATGCGTTATTATCAAATTGAAATGCTCAATTTTGCGTCAGCTATTGACCTAACAATTCAATTCAAAACGAGCTATGTTTAGCAAACTATATTAATTAGTGAAGACACAACATTATTCATAACATTAGTTTTTTACTCATTGTTGATTTTCGTTGAAACAAAAACGGGCGGAAATATTGACAGATTCAGACGTTTCAGGTAAAGTTTACCAATCTGATAAAAACAAATTAAAGTCAGCGTAGGAATGATTACAAAATATTGCCGTAACGCTGCGAAATGAAATTGAAAATTCGGTAAAAATCTTTTGAAACATATACTCTGAGATAATCACTTCTTTACCTTTTTATATCGATCAACATGAACTTTTAACCAACGCCACACTGTTTCTAATTGATAGATGGGCAGTAAACCAACAGGAAATTGAGGGAAGTATCTGCCACTGGGGGGGGGGTACTCTACTCCCTTTCCTCCGCCAATGACTCTGCAGTTGATCGTTACCCTGAATCGTATCTCCCGGATGCACAGCGACTTGATGAGCAAGTCTAATTTTGACCCGCCCAGAAGAACAGGCTCTTTCGTCATTGCACGCTGGCTGTTACATAACGGCTTTAGCTTGAGTAAACATGGACTGAGAGAGATAGAAAGAACGAAACATCAAAGGTAGCAACTATATAGCATGTACATGTATAGCAGGATAGCAACTGACAGCTTACACACAAGTTGTACAGGGCCAGGGCTACTATACTACGCGCCAAGGGCTAACTATCAACTGGACGGGGTAAGAGATTTTCCTTCAAATTTGTACAAAATGTTTTGGGAACAGTGGTGAAATTAGTGTACATGTACACAAATAATGAATGCAGAGGACCGGACCGATAAAGGCCATGCGGGTGGATGGATGGAGCGTGACGTACATATAACTTACGGTTCGGAGTATATTATTTATATACGCCTGCATGATTTTATCAACATAAAACTGAGGGGTGCTGTGTTCCTTGCTCTATAATGAAAAATGATAAGCAAACTACAATCGTGCACCTCCCCGTCTCGTTTATGTCAAGGAATAGCTCCATGATGGGTCTCATGGTTACCCAAAAAGCTATGAGGCTCACGTTACGGAAAGAACGTTACACCGTGACTCCACTTCAGCAGTTGTGTACGAACTCTGTGGGGTTGGGGAGTCAAGACAATTTTCTAAGAGTTTTCGCAACAAAATTGGAAAATAATCATGGTCAGACCCAGATTCATTTCTTTTCAACATTTAAGAAACGACTGGCCTTCATTGAGATGGCATATGATGTAAAAAGTGGAGACAAGATGCAACATTCTTTCCAGTTTGCCTTTCTTGGCACAATTGCAGAATACCCCGCCATTTACCTTGCCCACCTCGTAGCCGCGGATGCAACATTCTTTCCACTTTGCCTTTCTTTCTTTCCAAACCTGTTCCCCTCGCTATGACCCCCCTTCTCTCGCTAAAATAAATCCCCTGAAAATAAACAACTTGTGAGGTTTATGACCTTCCAAAAACTGCAGTGATCACGGATGGCTCCATATTGGTCCTGATCGGTTGATCTTTGCATGTTAGTTGAGCTCAATGCAGCATTTGTAAGCCTTGCAATTCCGTCATCAGCCAGTCACCTCTCCTTTCACCGCCCCCATTCACATAGGCCTATTTGATACACTTTGTGAAAGTTTTTCTGTAGAGTAATATTATGTGGAAAATAAAGTGAACTGAACTGAATGGAAGATTGTTACCCAAAGCGAAGCAAAGTTGGGCGTTACAGATCCCGCCCAAAATTTACACGATGGTTATCCAAATCTACTCTGCAGTCCCTGCCCTATGTTCATATACGCTTGTTTACTCGCCTATACAGTAACGAATCAAACCAGTTAAAACAAATAATAGATAGTCGACTTTTGTTCATTCGAATACACTTACTGAAATACAGAAAATTACAAATAACTTTTAACTGTGTTGATAATAAAATAAATACTCCACAAGCTGCTTGCGGACATGTTTGTAACCTAACAGCAGTAACCTCAAATTTAACCAATATTTCGTTTTCTGTTTCCTGTATTCTCTGTTATACAATCCCAGTTGTAGCATGAAAAAATCTTTCCACGTTAAAACTTCGATAAGCCTTGGACGACCTGGCGGCACCACTCAAGTCTGCATTCCTGTTCCGTTCTTTTGTAAATCCTTCAGTTGTCCAAGTTTACCCACGCGTGTACTGCTTGAATATACTGCACAGACCTATTTCTCCTGATGTACTCGAAACCATGAAACTAAACATTATCCGTGGAATTGTTTGTTGCATGGAACTGTAGTTGTAGCCGGTGTAATACTTTCGAATGAACCTGTAACGGAAGCTTTTCTTATAGTCTACTCGTTGCATTTCCTAATACTCTGGTTTTCCCTTAATATATATAATATATATGTTATGTATTTGGCTAATGCCAGTTTTAGATTATGCAAGAACAAGCATTTTATGGTGTTTCCCGTCGAAACATTGCTATGGTTTCAACTGTAAGTTTGACTGTATCATGAAATGTATATTTGAGTTGGCCTACAGAACGGAATTCATCATTTCAATTCCTATTTGTTTTAAACAATTTAAATTGTGTGTGAGATTTTAGGAAATTTGGGCACTGTTGCTGTGATGTCATGCAGGCACGATACTGCTCAGTTTGTGGGTATTTCTTTTCAAATTGTGAAACTAAATTTAGCTGGTGAATATCAATTAGGCCTATGGGAAAGCGTTAGTCATTGGCTTATATCTGTATTTCGGCAACAAGGAATCGCCGAAGAAAAGGAAATGGTAATTTTTGAGCAGCATCGAGGTTTCCTCCCGGAATGACATCACAGTTTTGCTCCTGCATGTTATAGATATTTATATTGACGCAAAAAAACCCAAAAGCACAATAATACCTTTTAAAATATGAACATTCATATTGAAATCCAAATTTATAGCGCACATAGGCTTTGCTTGAAGATAAATTCGCCGTTAGTGCACAAAGGGTAAAAGTTTTAACAGTTAATATTTGGAGTATAACGACCAAGCATTTCTTATCATGGATTCCATTTTTGAATTCCATATTAAGATCTGAATCGGGATGGAATTACAGACCAAGGATCCCAACTCCAACCCACCCGCTGTTGGTGAACAAGTGCCTGGAGGTATGCAATGATATATCGTAAAAATTGTTTCATGATAATGATCGTATTGGTTGAAACTGAGAGAAATTCCAAGCTGAATGACACGAGTTTTTGCGATTTTTCGATCCCTGTAAGGCTTTGACTTTGACCAAAATAGTACATGCTGGAAAAATGGAGCATAGTGCGAAACACGAATTTTCACACTAGTCCCCAGAAACATTAAGCTCACTGAAATTGATCACAAGCATTCTCTCTGTAGCTTACCCAATACAGCAACCATGGCAACCCACTGCTTATCCAACCCAACCTCAGCCGCAGGCTGCCGGGCAACCGCCGCCCGCGCTAGCCGGCCAGACCGTGGTGACAGCCCAGCCCGTGGGAACGACCTACGTCACCATGCCCATGCAGGTGTTCTCTCCAGAACCCAGGGCCATGCAGTGCACCAACTGCGGGAAAAACATCACCACCGAGACCCGAAAAGCGAACGGCGCTGCAGTCTGGGTGGTAGTCGGATGGATATGCCTCATGACGTAAGTGGCCCTTCCAGGAACTAAGGCAAAATGCTTGTACATGTACCTCTGTAGACCTTTGACAGTGCGTTCGATTCGGATGCTTCCATATTTATTTGAACAGATAAAATCAGTAAAAACATGTTTTCGTCAGAGCTGCTCTTTAAAAAAAACGTACCTGCAATAAATGTTTGTAAGAAAACAACTTTCTGCAGCTCTGTGCTCTTGTTCGATGAATGAAAGTGATTATTCATCCCTATAGGTTTAAATAATATTGAAAAGTGTATGCTTTTCCAGACAACAGAGAGTGCAACTGCTGCGATTTCATCCATGGAAGACATAGTTCAGTACATGTACATAGGTTTTTCTGTTCAAGTTGTGAACCCTGAATTTACTCACTGAATGTATTTCGGAGAAAGGGTTGGTTGCTTGCTTATTGATGAATTTACCATGACAATGAATCACCACAGAGAAGAGGAAATGTTGGCCAGTAAAACCTTTCAAAATGCTGATTTGTTTTGGCACGAACCAATGTAACATACTCTCTAAATGCACAATTCCCTTTGAAGTAGTGAAAACAAACTCAAAATGAGGTTAATTTGGATGCATTATGGACGTTAATAGAAAAAAGAAGTTTCATCGCAGCTGCACCCTGTGTGTTGAAATTTGTAGCAGACTGACACAGCCTTGCACAACTTTGAGCTATAATCGACATTATAAAGTTGTCAACATTGCTCACAAATTGAAGTTCAAACCTCAGATCATTTTTTTTTCAGGATTTGGTGTTGCATGTGGCCCTTCGCCTTTATCCCACTCTGCATGCCGAGCCTGAAGGACACCATTCACAGCTGCCCTGAGTGCAAGTTCATTCTAGGAAAGCACTCACCAGGCGGAGCCAGTCTCTGAGAGCTTGGAACTGGGGCCAATTCTTAACATAGGGGATCATCTCAACGAATCCAGTTTTTAATTGCGTTTTCTTTGCGGGTGTTAAATTTGTTGAAAGAAGAACTTGGGTTTCTTCGTGTAAGTTAATGATTTATATGATCCAGTACTTGTATTCAGGGGTTATTTACTCGCATTTCGTTAACAATTTAAAAACTAATCTTCAGAATGTGCCACGACTGATGTGTTCGTCATAGGGGTTTGGGAAGCGGAAACCGTCGTTCTGTGCATGCGCAAAGCGGTCCAAAAGTGTTGTCTGAGGAAACTTATTAGTGGACTTAAAGAGGAATGTGAAGATGTTTGAAGGTTTTTGTTTATTATATTTTTAATTTGATTTTCCAAATAACGATTAAAAATGAAAAGTGTAACTTTTACGGAGTAGAAGCTAAAAGTGACTTTTTCGATGTTGTATATTTCAGAGTGAAAGAGTTGCTGAGCAATTTTGACCAGTTGCTCATGGCGGCTTTCCTTGACGTGTTTGTACTTGTGTTCTTTTCGTGTTTTGTATGTACACATTTAATAGTAGTAGGCCTGATCTGACAAAGGTTTCTCAAGGGAATTTTTCCCAATTTTATTTTCATGACAGAAAATTTTCCTGAAGTTTTTAGAATGTATCTTCCGATTTCAAAGTCGGTGTGAGTATCACAGTTTTTTAGATTTATAATTGAATGGAAGTATCATCATTTAGAATTGTTGCCTTCATTTATAGAGAACAATTCTTGAAACCCTGTTTGTTTCTTGCAGAGTGTGTTGAAGTGTAAAGTTCTTAGGAGCTAGTAGCGATCGTCTTTTTATACTATAGCTATTGTCCCGTCGACGAATGTTTAACAGCGATCAGGCAGTTTTTACATAAAAAGAATAAAATCCCTTATGTCTGGAGATATATTGTTCTCTACTATAAATAAAGTAGCAAAATTCAGTTTGACGTGTATATTGGATTTTTTGGCATGAAAAGTCGATGGATAGATGTTTGAGACACAACATATGTGCACCTGTCGATAGAACTAATACCACTTTTATTGGCTTTTACATTTACATATTTCCGTAACTAACCGGGTATACGCCTTAAAACCGCTCTACTTTTGACCATTTAGATAATTCACAATAAATGTACATGTACACAATATCCGAAATGAAAATGCTTTGCCTAACCTTAACTGTTTTACAGAGTTACGTTTATGTTCACGTAAAACAAGCACTAGGATTAGTAGTGTTGGTGGGAACGCGCGTGCTACAGTACATACGGCCAGTGGCATTGCTAATGTGGGTGTAAGGACCCCCCCTCCCATTTTCCTCACGGTAGAGATTTAGGGGCGACACCGTTGCTCCGAACAACAGCATAGATTTTAGAAAGAGCCTTGTGTTCGTGTACACGTCTGTCCCAAGTTACCCTTAAAGAATTCCATTTTGCTGGGAGAAATTGTCCTCCAGTGAGTAGTCCTTATACATGTAGTGAGATTTAACTAGGTTGGGAATCGATACTTTGACCCAACCTTTAAAAAGCCAGGTATTTCAAAGCCGTGGGTAGATTCGGCCCCTTCCCCAGTAACTCGGCTTTCTCATGCCCAACTGTTGTAAAACTTAGCATGCATGTGAAGACACGCGTTATTTGTTTCAAAAGAAACACTTCTCAAATTGAAAGTAGGCTTAACTTTTCATTTTGGGACACTAAGAGTAAAAATAAAGGAACGAAATAAAAATTTAGAATAACTTAAAAGTTGCGATAATTAATCCAGATTGAAAAATGAAAGTGAGGCTGCAAACCCAAAATTGTTTGTCACCTTCCCATAACAGATTACATTGAACACGGTAGATTCCGGGATTGTATCTTATGAAAATGCCCTGACAAAAGCCGCAATTTGTAAAAGCCGTGTAGATCTCAACCTTGTCCCCTTGACTTTGAGCTTATTTGAACCCTGGGAATGAGGTTTGCAGAGAGTAACCTTTGACCGCAAAGTTTTCCGACAAAAGTTTCTTGGCTACCAGTCGGCCATCTTTTTACGCAAGTCTTGGTAAGTTATGTATCATAAAATTTACTACCATCCTGGATATTCCTGAAAAACATACTCTACACATTGTATAGAAAAAGTGTAATAAACTCTGGACTGAACTTAAAGTATTTTAACATAATAAGGCCTGGACCGATAAGTCACTGACTTGATCATTGATGTCAGGAGCCAAGCGTGTACCATGTCACTGTGTACGCGCTTAACATGCTTCACGTGTGTCAATCAGAAGTTGATATCTGAAAGTCGCTCAGCTTAATAATTGTTATAGGCCTACGTAAACTGCCAACTAATTAAGCAGCATTGCTCATAAAGGTTCAGGATACAAAAACGCTTGTTTTTATGTAATTCTATGTGATTTATCAGTAAACACGTGTGGCTGGTGAGGTGTGGTGTAACCAGCGGCGTAGCCCGGATTCTGAGCATAAGGCGAGCGGAGGGCTTCAAATTAAAGTGCCAGTGGGGGGCTGACTAGATGTTGGACGTAGTCATGTACAGTCGACTCCAGTTATAACAAAGTTGCAGGGACCAGACAAATTATTTTGTTATAAACAGGACTTTGTTATAAGAGGAGTGAAAAAAGCAAAGAAAAAACACAAGAATTCAAGAAATAGTGCATAACCGTGATCACATCAGGAACATGGTGGGGCGACTGGGGGCGACGATTTTTCATGAGGGCGAGAGCCTCCCCCCCTCTCAGCCACGCCGCTGGGTGTAACGACGACTTTTCTGTTCAGTGCTGTGATCTTCACAAACTGATTAATCAAATTCTAAAATCAGCGTCATCGCGGTGGATAGCAGTAATGGCATTGTGTGTGAAATTAAGAACGTTGGAGAAGGTGTTTGGATCTCCTGTGGTTAATACAACATGATTTTGTCGAACTGGTGACAGCATGATTCTGCAAGTGTAGACAGATAAATGTGGGTCCAGACTATGTTGTTGCAGAACATCGAGTTGCTGCTACAAGAAATTGAGATTCTTTTTAGGTTAACCACTTAGAGCCCGGTGTCCCCGAATGCGGGCACGTTCTTCTAATTCACACAGCCGGGTGGCCTAAGTTGGGGCCAGGAATGACTGGTATGAGTCACCATAGGCTGTAGTCGTATTGTGAAGTACAATGGCATGAAGGACCGCAGCGCCGTAAGCTAGCCTGGCCGACGAACGCATCGTCCAGCCCGCCCATTGTTTGTCATTCCTGGGGGCTGAAGGCAAACAAAGAAGCCGTTATGTTACTCCATAATAGACATAACAATGGTAATAAGTATGGTGAATACGAATGTCAGAAAGCACCGCCCGGCAGCTTGTGATTCAAGAGACTGTCTTACCCGGCGGCGAGTGGTTTTAACAATGTGAGGTTTATTTTTAATTACAAATTGTTTCCTACTTTTTCATGGAAATTTGATTCAGATCATATGAGATCAGCGTGCAGTGTAAGTGTTTATGCCATTGTCTCTGCTACACATAAAAAATTAAATTACAGCTGCAATGTGAGAATTTGTTACAATGAATTCTCTTTGTACTTTCAGAAGTTCTGTTGTGATTTTTCCCAGGCATGTAGTTTCAATAACTCTCGGACAGATTTCTTACAACCATCTGGTTTGGTTCACTTTTAAGATAGCGTTGCCGGCTCTCAATGCCCTCATACCGATTAAACCCTGCATGGCCATGTACATATATTGTAAATTAAAAACTTTGCATGCCACGCTTCCATTCCCAGTCAGAATAGTGTACGAGTCATAGATCATTTGCTTTCAGATTGACTGTCAACCATTACAGTTGCCAACCTCCCATTGGCGAGTGACACTATAGAGAGGTTCTCAGGTAGCTTATAAGGCTGATCCACACTGAATGCATGTATTCTGAATATATTAGTTATCATCAGGTGAAACGGTTCAGTGCGGATGACGCCCATTCATATAATATGATACATCGGCACCTTCCCAGAGTGAACCTTTTGGGGGACCATGCCATTGTAGTCTGTTGTTGACACTGAAAAGCGTCAACTTGTGCGAGTACTTGCATCATTTGTGCCCTTCGACGAAAGTTTCGTTACAATCGGGATTTCCATTTCCTAATTAATGGGGAGGAAGGAACAAATACGTCATTCGTCTGCGCAGTGATCGATTTTGAACTAAAGAAAGAAATTGCAGCTGTATCCTGTACTCGATGAAGTGGGTGACACTACGTAGAAATCCAACGGTGAACCGCCTGAATAAAGTCAAGTCTTGCTGTATTGTAAGGCCGATGCGATTCTTATCCTGCGATTCGGTTTACAATAATGATCCTGAAAGGTGCACCAGGACCGGCAGGCAGGCTTCGTGATGAATAGAATGTGACTGCGTACGACGTCAGTGCAGTACGGCACATGTACTGGTCTTGATCACGGAGTAAAAAACAAACTCTGTCGAAAGAGAACAGGCGTGAGCTCCTTACAACGAGGTAGGTAGGTACTGCTTGATCCCTATGAAATTACGAATTAAATCTACTGTTAACTTTTTCTTGCATCCCGTTCCGAAAATGCACACTTGACCCTATAATCTCCGGGGGTGTATGTAAAATCATATTGGACTTATGATCGGGGAATTTTGTTTCATGTAGGCCTATGATAGCACGTTTGCAAGAGATTATAAATTTTACTTGTAACTAACTAGCATGAGTAACTCCAACCCATACCTCGTCTCGATACTGGAAGTGTGTGCTAAGGAGCCGTGCACGTGAGTTATTCGTTAGCATGTATGTCATACTTATGTAATCAGCAAATTTGAAGACCTCATTTTCCGGTCTAAGTTTTACTCTACCTGGATCCGGCTCCCCCACCAGAATCCTCATCAAAAACCCCACTTGGGTGACATTCACGAAGCAAAAAATCACCTAAAAGTGGACGGAACAAATTATTTCAGAAGGGACTCAATAGACATTCTGGGCCCAACTTCCCGATTACTGTCGCCAAGCTGCCATCTTTCAAAGCGGAAAAACACCAAGTGTGACGTAATCGATTATGTCACATTTGAAGCAAGATATGGGACGGAGAGAACTCCCCCCCGCCTTTGT